TATTATTATTATAATAAAATTCATCCAGGCACAATGGAAGGCTATACAATGAAGCGTAACTCCCAATTTTGAATTGGTATGTGTTAAGAAACATCTCTGCATTAGCTGTCTCTCTTTAACCATAGAGGCTAAATCAAATGCCTTTACCTCCGGGTGGGTTCTCTTTCTGGTTTTCATGTATGTTGTTTTTATTCAGGAAGTGGTGCCACCAAGTTCTCATACAGGCTTTTCTGGATTGCATTTACCATTCGTTGGGTTTACATACACAACTGATAGGTAAGCAAAAGATATGTTGTTCATTAAACTTGTTTCCCAAATGCAGTGAATTCTAGGAAATTCTCATGTTTATAAACATGTAGAAAGGTTGATGTCCATAAGTGTACCCGTGGATAAGCTTTTAACCCTTTTTTTCTTCCTCAATGAACATATTTTGATCATGCTTGCCAAGATTAGATGCTTTTGTATTTAATATTTTATGTATTTGAAATGAATGAAAGTTAAGGGACTAGATGTGTCACTTGCAATTGGGTATAAACTTGCTGTTCCTGCATTGAGAGGCTGAGAGCAAGTCTGGTCCACATTGCATGTCTGCCAGGAACAGTTCAGGATTAGCTCATTGCTCCAAAGTCCTGCTGGCAGGCTAAGGTAACATAGATGGTTCTGCGCATGGACAAAGTGGATCACTTTGCACGTCTTTGAACTGGCCTCCATCTGACTTCTGAAATCCCTCAAACATATACTTGTCTCTGATCTTAAGGTTATTCTGCCCTGTTTGTTATTCCATTATTTCCCTTCACTGGGGTTTGTTACCCCATGCAGTACTATTTCAGAAAGAACCCAGTATACACATCTCATCCTTTTCAGAGTTAGATCACGTGGCTTGACTTAAATCCATCTTTGTCACACTTGCAACTAAACTTTTGGGTTTGTTTCTCAGCTCTCTCAGTGCAGGTATGCTTTCCGTTCTGCTTACTTTGCTGTCAGGTAGTAGTAACCATTGGCATAGGACTGTTAACATTTTCAGTCATTCAGGCAGTTTGTGAAGTGAATGTACATCAGCATCACTGATGTCCTGAATGCAAGTATCTTAATTCTACTGCAGCGTTACATATGGTAGCTAGGGAATAATAATTTATCTACCCTGACAGTTGTCTCAATAGTAACAATTACTGCACTAATTGTTCTTGTAAATTTAAGGTGCGTATTTGGCGGAATCCCAGTGTGTCACTGCTATAGACTGCTGTGAGTATTTATTAAAATGTTCTAACTTACGTGTTTGTTTTCAGCTCTTTATCTGATAGAGGCACTTTAACGAGTGCAATGCAGCCTGACACTGTAACCAAAGATACGGATGTACAGCGTGACTTAAAGAACACTTCACAAATAGAAGGCTATGAAAAGAAAATACGGAAATTAGAGCAAGAAAAGCAGGATTTGAACAGAAAGCTGCAAGGTTAGTGGTTTACATTTGTTGGGATTCTTATCTCTGCTCATTAGGAGGAATTGGAATGTATTTTATTGAAAATCTTTTCCTTCCTTTTCTGATTTTAAGAATCTACACAAACAATGCAAAACCTCCAAGGTCCAGTGTGTGTTACAGTAAATACAAGCCGTGATAAGGAGATAAAAAAATTAAATGAAGAAATTGAACGGTTGAAGAACAAATTAACAGGTAGGCCTCTGGCGTGGTAATTATAGTAATGCAATTTATTTTGCTGTTCCTAGTAACATTATGTACTGTGTTTTGGCAATAAGTAGAATTAACGTTCTTGAGGTGCTGAAAAAAAAAGTGGTTTTTTTTTTTTTAAATTCTCCTTCAATATCAAGAGACATTTCAGTTTTTCCAGATAAGCACTACTTCTTTCACTTCCTTGGCCTACTAGAATATAGTAGCATGGGGAGTACAATGAATTGTGTGGATGAGATTAGTTAAATATTTCGTGTGATATTCGTTTCCTTAAAAATTTCAGGAGATCCTGTTCTCTTACTCCTCCTCTTTGCGGGGAGTATTGTTTTGGAGAGGTTTTACTGAAGGTAGGTGTGGGAGACACTAGGGAGAGAAGATTAGTTGTTCTTTAGTAACATAAGGGGATAGGTGGGGGGATGTACAATAATAGTTCACATTTAAATATTTCTGAGCTCTTGCTCCCTTAGTGTTTCTGTCTGGTGATGCATTAATTAGGAAGCACTGAGCATTGCAGAAAAACAAATACTGGCATCTGTCCTGAGAGAAGACTGACTCATCCATATCGCTGAAAATCTGTTGCTTGACAATGCTATTAGTTTATCCATACAAACCTTCTGTTCGCGTCTAATTTTTAAGTGGAAATCAGTATAAACAAAATGGTAGTTTTGAATCCTGATGACCTGGCTGAGAGGTTTATAGGGGCCCATCGTATAGCCTAAGTGAGTTCAGATGCTGAGTTTGCTGATGCCGATTTCCGCCTCCCCCCCC